GGGCTTGTCTGGGGTGCGATGCTGAGAGTGAGTCTGTGTTTTGTGGGTGGCAGGTGGGGAGACAGAAGAGGAGAAGATTCGTGTCGACGTTTTGGAGAACCAGGCCATGGACGTCTCCAATCAGCTGGCCAGAGTCTGCTACAGTCCTGACTTTGTGAGTCCCTCCCTGATCTGGGCCAGGAGCCAGGCTTCTTTATTTCCATCTACTCTGGTCCTGTTCACAATTTGAACTTCTCGTTGCTATTGATCCTCGGGGGGTTCCCTGTACTGTAGCAGAGCGACCGTCATATCATTAAAATATATCAAATAAAAAGTCGAAATCGGCCCCCACCAGTCATAAGAAGTCCAAGCTAGAAATTCAGTTCTTAGACAATAAAGTCATGAGTTCAGAATTCCCTTTACATCTGACCCCTGACCTCCGCCACGGGCCATCTCACCCTGCTGGTTCATGCCATCTGCCTGTTCAGGGAATAGGCAGACTCACACTACATGGTAAAGAGGTACACGATGGGTATGTAAGAGCACTCTCCTCTATGGAATTCCGGCCTATTCTTTTCCTAGTGCTTCTCCTTGACAGGCACAGGGATGAGTGCATTTTCCTAACAGGCAGCTCAGGGGCAGTCAGAGGGCCTTTGTTCCTCTGCCTCCTTCCACTCAGCCTCTCAAAATCTCATCTCTCCAGAAACTACTCAGTATCCATTGTATTCTTCTGCCGCTCTACTAGGAGGAATTTTTGACTTCTTTCCCTGAGCTCCTTTAGTTCTTTGCATCCTTGATTCTGCTTGTGTCTGGGTCCAGAGCTTGCCAGGTACTCAGGGGCTCCTGGGGCTGACCCAGAGGAGGGTGGTTGGGAGGTCAGTGGGGACAGATTCAGGGACAGTGTTGCATTCCTTTCTACCTTCCATCACCTCAGAAAGCCTCCAGCCACCCACTTGGAATCTAATAAATGCTGATGTGTCCAACTGAAGCCAGTTCCAGTTGTGGGGAAGATCACTGCTTGCTTGTGGCTAGCTGGGGCCATACACAGCCCTGTGGAGGCCACAGCTGTGCAGGGAGCTTGTATCTGAGAGTGGTGACAGCTGTGTTCTGTCTGCCTCAGGAGAAACTGAAGCCAGAATATTTGGAGGGAATTCCTACAATGATGCAGCACTTCTCACAGTTCCTGGGGAAGGGGCCATGGTTTGTTGGAGACAAGGTAATGCGGGCGTGTGATGGGACACTACAGACTTGTCATACATCCTATGCTATGGAGATTTCAGCCCACACATTCTTGGCCTTCTGCAGATCACCTTTGTGGATTTCCTCGCCTATGACATCCTTGATCTCCACCGTATATTTGAGCCCACCTGCTTGGACACCTTTCCAAACCTGAAGGACTTCATCTCCCGATTTGAGGTGATGCCCCTGTACTCCTTTCTCTTTGGTGCCCCTTGTTTGAGATGCTTTCCTAGTCCTGGAGCTACACAGAGAAAACTTGCATTTGTTGAGTGCTGGCTTCATGCCACGAACTGTGACTCCCACATTATACCTGTGGTGTCCAAGTTGAACTTTACAACATTCCTACAGGGTGACAGAATTATCTCACCCATTTTAGAGATAAAGACACTGAAAGTGACAGGGTCAGTCCTTTGCTCAGGGTCCCAGAGCCTGGAGGCTGTGCTGGGCTCCCTGTGAGCCTCTGGATCTATGGGTGGCAGTCAGGGCTCTCCCTTTTGCAACAAAAGAAAAAAGCCTCAGGCCTCGTCCAGCCTGGGTTTCACAGCCCAGGACACTCTGGAAGGGGCAGAGCTCCTGAGGAGCGTGGCTGCAGCTGGCAATAGCAGGACTGACACGCGGTCCTACTACCGTTGTTGAGTACTATCGTGGCATCGATGTTGAGTACTAAACCCACAGGCAGCATTCACAGCTACCCCCAGAAGCTCTGCACGAATTGACCCCCATGTAGGAATCCTGAGAGCCAGGGCTGTGGCTGTAGCTGGGTGAGGTACATATGTGGGTGCCCCTGTTGAAGGAGTTTATGTTGAAGTGCTCTGTGCTGGGGCACTCTCCTTCCCTACCTCTCTTCCTCTCCTTTTCCCTCCAGTGTTCCCAGTGTCTCCCTGTGACATGGGGAGCACACTGATTTTAACTTCTATTCACCGACCTTCTCCTCTGCATGAGGCGGGGTGAGAGGCACAGCGGGAGATGCGTAGATGATCACCCCATCCTGGAAGTGAGAGCAGTGAGAGGCCCGCAGGCAGAGCAGCCTGTGAGGTGTGTGTGGCGCCCCTGGGTAGGGGGGCCTGCCCCTCACTCACGGGAACCATCCCTCACCCGTGCTGATCTTGTTTGAGATCGGCAAATCCTACGTTAGTACATATTTGGGAATTTGAGGCATTAGTCTAACAGGATTTTCAGCCTAGAATCTGTTTTCTTTTCCCACTCGCCATCAAGAGATCCAGTTACTCAGCTAGTTCCCATCAGCTCTGGCTCTGGTCCAGGCTGAGTGGCTCTGGGGTTACATAAGAGGTGGTGGGAGGGGAGGAGAGCCAAGGGCTGCAGCATACGGTTCACCTGGGCTTGGCCTTTTGGGAACAGGCAGCCCTGGATCTCTTAGAATCCTTAGAAATTACATGGCCATTCATTCTTGCGAAGATCGTGCAGAGCACATCTGAGTGTCTTGCAGCCTGGCCCGTGGTAGTGGGGTTGAAGATGAGGTGGGTTGGGGCACAGTGGTATTTAGCTCAGGTATCCGGTGGGGAGGTTTGGACTTTCTGCTTTAAAAGGAATGATTAGAGCCTGCTCTGGCCTTTCTTTTGCTGATCCAGCATAACTTGTCCACTTTCATCCGCTTTTGCTGCCTTGTTGGGTGAGATCTGGGCTCTCTTCCGGGCTGCACACACATTTTTCTGGAGGTCTTGCTGGAGGTCCCCTCTGTGTGTGCAAACCTAGGCAAGCCAGGAAACAGGAGAATGTTGTGCAGACAGAGAGTGATAGGACCTCCTGAGGAATTTTGGGGGAGGATACGAATTTGGCAGATAGAGGCCAGAACTGGAGAGAGACAGAAGCAGGCTACATTGCAGCCCTGTCCCCTTATTGGCTATTTGAATGTGAGGAAGTTGCTGAACTTCTGTTTCTCACAGGAGAAATGGTGATAATAGATTCGACCTTGCAGAGTAGTTGAGTGGATTTTCGAATCCTGTGTTGTAATTTGTCTTGGGTGTAGAGCAGCCAGCACAGTGTAGAATCTTCATAAGTGGTAGTTGTTTTCATGGTATAACATTACGTAAAGGAAGTGGGAAGAGTTAACTTAGCAGATGTGGGGACCCTAAGAGCCTGTGTGATGCTCCAGCACTTGAGCCCATGTGGAAAGGCTGTGGCCAGGGCCCTGACCTGCTGCGCCTATAGTGGGGTTGCCCCAGCCCTCATGGGCAGCTGACCTTGAGCTTTGGCCTTATTTGTCCTCCTCTCAGGGCTTGGAGAAGATCTCTGCCTACATGAAGTCCAGCCGCTTTCTCCCAAGACCTTTGTACACAAGGGTGGCTGTCTGGGGCAACAAGTAGTGCCTTGAAGGCCAGGCGATGGAGGAGCCCATATGAAGCCTGCTGCCCAGGCTGTGTAGAGCACGTGGGCTCTGCACCCCAGCATCTGCCTCATTCCTTTCTCCTGTTGATTCACTTCTTTACCCTCAAGACTCTATTGGCCCTCTTTACTTCCCCTGAACCCCTGTCCCATGAAGGCCCTTTAAAGCCTCAGCTACCCACTTTCCTTCAGGAACATCCCCCTCCCAACTTACCCTTCCCTGCACTAAAGCCAGCCTGACCTTCCTTCCTGTTAGTGGTTGTGTCTGCTTTGAGGGGCCTGCCTGGCTGTGGAGCTCAGCTCCGAGCTGTCCCAGCGCTGCATGAAAGAGCAGCATTGACTGGTTTACAGGCCCTGCTCCTGCACCATGGCCCCTGCCTTAGGCCTACCTGATCCAAGTAAAGCCTCAACCACATTTGCTGTAGTGTTGTCTTATTTGTTCCCATCTGCCAAGACTGCCTCTCTGTCTCTCCTCCTTCTGAAGGACTGACTGGTGACCCTGGAAGTGGCTGGATTCATAGAGATTATGGTGGGCTCCGTAAGGTGTTTCCAACCTTTTTTTCTTATTTTTTGTAACAGAGTCTCCTGCTCCCCAAGGAGAAGGGCACTGGTGGGATCATAGCTTATTGCAGTATCCAGTCCTGGGCTCAAGCGGCTCCCACTTCAGCCTCCCAAATAGCTGAGACTACAGGTGTGCCACCACACCTGGCCACATTAAAATTTGTTTTGTAGAGGCAGTGTCTCACTATGTTGCCCAGGCTGGTCTGGAACTCCTGAGCTCAAGCGATCCTCTTACCTAGGCATCCCAAAATGCTGGGATTGCAGGTGTAAGCCACCACAGCTGACCCTGTTTCCATCTTCTTGATCTCTTTCCTGATAGCCTTAGAGCAGGAAGCCTCATAAATTTCTCTATAGAAAGGATGCCTTTTTCTGGGCCTAGATCTTCATTTATTCAGTATTACTCACTGCTTTCCATGGTTAGGCAGAGCTGGATCTCAGTGAGGAGGTCTTAGATGCCCAGAGGTAGTAGAATTCCCATCATAGAGAACCAGGATCCTTCTGTCTTCCATACTGTCTGACCCCATCACAGCTGCTAGATCTCTAGGACCCAAGCTCTACTGTGAGCTGCTTCACCAGAAGGTTCTCGCAGCTCAGCAGTTCCCAAGCTGTGTTACCACAAATAGTTGTTGATTTTTTGGGTAAGGTATTCAGGTAAGGCTCAGTAGGGAGAACTTATTACAAATCAACAGAGGTCTCTTCTCCAAAAACTATATATCCAGAAATACATCTCATTAGAATTAGTCAAAACTTCAGCAGGCATTTCCCCAAAATGAATATCCAAATGGCCAATAAGCACAAGAAGATGCTCAACATCATTAGACAGCAGAAAGTTAAACCCCTACTGTTCAGATCCTATTGTATCCCCCCCAGAATGGCTGACATGGAAACTACTGACAATTGTTAGTGATTTATGGAGTAACGAACTGTCATGCATTGCTGGTGGGAAAGCCACTTTGGAATACTGGCAGTGTCAACTAGAGCTAAACATACATCTACCCAGGACCCAGAAATCCCAACCTACAGGAATGAGTCCTAATGGATTCTAAGAGTCAGATACAATGATGTCAAAAGCAGCTTATTTTAAATAGCCAATAATGGAAAACAATCCAAATTCCATGAATACAAGAATGAACACATGAACTGCGGTTTATCAACATGATTCCATTGTTCGTATAATAGGATACCTACTCTGCTATAATGAAATAAATGTGCTAATGCTACATGCAGAAACATGAATGGGCCTCACAGACATGTTGAGTAAAAGGATCCAGACAGGAGAAAGGACACATGGTCTCATTCCACTTACATGAAAATCAGGAGAGGGAAATAAGTCCATGGTATCGGAGGGCCGATGATGGGTGGCCTTGGTGGGAACTGAGAAGTCGCCTGTTGAAGGGGCCTGGTGGAGTGCTGCAAGTTTCCTCTATCTTTATCTGGGAGGTGATTCCAGAAGAGCATACAAGTGGAAAATCCCAGAGTAGCACACTTAAGACCTGTATGTATATTGCACTTCAATGAAAAGTATGCACCTATGTCTTATATTATTTGTGTGTTTGTGTTTGTTTGCTTTCCCTCATAAGGTGTCAACATCATGAGGGCATGTGTTTTTACCTCTTCTTATTCACTGATGTTACAGGTGTTTAGGTATCATCCAGAACAGTCCCTGAGCATAGTAGGTGCTCACTGAATAGTTGTTAAGCAAATTATAGGCTCATTTTAGTGTGTCACTTCAAATTCTCTTTAGATTTGTATTTGTGCCTACTTCTTTGGGTAGGTGAGATCGATGTGCACATATAATTTTGGATTCTGCAGATTTTTTCTCTTAAACAGTTTACTTAAGAATCTATACATGTTGGCAGTCTATATGCGTGCCTTTTTCTAACATTTAATGGCTATCTAACATGACTTCCTGTGGGTAACTTATAGTTTGCCTAGTCATTCTTACCCTATTGGGCATGTGGATTTTTCTGACATGTTTATTTTTAGAACAGGGTGATCATATTTAAACAAATTCCTTCCCTGGTTTTTGGTTACTTTATTACCCTGAGTTGATCCTCGAAGGCAATTACTACAAGGCAAAGGGTGAGAATGGTGTTATGGTATTATCATAGATGAACTGACTGCTCTCCAGAGAAAATAACTTTTTTTTTTTTTAACATGGAATCTTGCTCTGTCACCCAGGCTGGAGTACCATGGTGTGATCTCAGCTCACTGCAGCCTCTGCCTCCTGGGTTCTAGTGATTCTCCTGCCTCAGCCTCCCAAGTAGCTGGGATGATAGGTACCTGCCACCATGCCTGGCTAATTTTTGTATTTTTAGTAGAGACGGGGTTTCACTGCATTGGCCAGGCTGGTGTCACCTCCTGGCCTTGTGACCCACCCGCCTTGGCCTCCCAGAGTTCTAGGATTACAGGTGTGAGCCACATCACTGGCCCAGAGAGAATAACTTATTCATGGTGCCCCCTGCAAGGAACATGGACCTTTGTGCTCTACCTCAGGTACTTGAGGGACTGCAGTTTCTTATTACGATATTTTGATAGGTTTATAAAAATGCCTTAAAGTTTTCACCTTCACCTTTTTTGTTTATTGGTTGTACATGTTTCTGTCAGTGAATCACAGTCTATGAATCTACCTGTTTGTGAATCCCCTGTACCAAACTCTCTGTTTTCCCATTCTCTACCTGTGGCTCAGTCAACTTCTGGAGAAAGGTTACAGAATGATCTTGTGGCAGTCAAGACCTTTTCTCCAATAGCACGATGTAATTAATTGTGATTCTGTTCCAGGTTTCCTGTGGCCTACTGTGATGGTTAATTTTCTGCATCAGCTTGACTAGGCTAAGGGATGCTCAGATGGCTGGTAAAATGATTGTGTTCGTGAGGGTGTTTCCAGAATAGATTTGCTTTTGAATCAGAAAACTGAGCAAAGATTCCCCTCAGCAATGAGGAGGCATCCTCCAAACTGTCAGGGCCCAGAGTGAAGAAAAAGACAGAGGAAGGGTGAATTTGATCTTTCTGACTGGGACATCCATCTCCGCCTGTCCTAGGACATTCGCATTCCTGGTTCTCTGGCCATCAGACTTGATCAGGGCCTAACACCCCCACCTTTCTTCTGAGGCCTTTAGACTCACACTGAATGGTACCACCGGCTTTCCTGCTTCTCTGTCCTGCAGTCAGCCGATCATGGGACTTCACTCCAAAGTTGTGTGAGCTCATTCCCATAAGAGATATGTAAATTTATAAATAAACACACAGATTTCCTATGGGTGTATCTCAGTGGTGTCACTTCAAATTTTGAAGAACCCTGACTAGTACGCATAGCAAAAACAAACAAACAAATAAAACACAAGTGGGTCACCATCGTCAAAAGTTAAAAAAAATCAAACACAGGCTGGGCGTCGTGGCTCACACCTGTAATCCTAGCACTTTGGGAGGCCGAGGTGGGTGGATCACCTGAGGTCAGGAGTTCATGATCAGCCTGGCCATCATGGTGAAACCCCATCTTAAAAAAAAAAAAGAAAGAAAGAAAGAAAAAGGAGATACATAAATTTATAAATAAACAGACAGATTTCCTATGGGCTTATCTCAGTGGTGTCACTTCAAATTTTGAAGAATCCTGACTAGTACACATAGCAAAACACACGCGCACGCGCGCGCACACACACACACACACACGGGTTCCCTGTCATCAATGAGTACTTTTTAATAACCAAACACGAGATAAAATGCTATGGCATATCTATTACCTGGGGGCTCTTTCTATATGGAAAGCACTGTCTGAGATGCCTTATAGTAAAACTCCAAGGAGGTTTTGAGGGAAGATATCCTCTTTTCTCCTGGTAAATCTCCGTGTTCATGGTCATTATTTTAAAGGCTCCAAAGATCAAAACATCTGTTTGCACATGTTGCCCATTCATTTTGGGTGAGGCTCTCTGGCAGGCTTGGAAGGGTGGGTGAACAGGGGGAAGGGCTGCCTCTGTGGTGACTAGCATCACTCATATTCATGTCTGTGGCAGTCATCAGGTGCTTATTATATATTCATCATTTGGCCACCCCTAGGGGGGTGTTAAATGCAGGAAGAGTCAAGTTATTGCAAATTGGCAGGACTTCTGGGATCTATCTACACACGATAGTCAGTCATGGTAGATACCTTCTTTTTAGAATTTTACTTATTATTTTTTTGAGACAAGGTCTCACTCTGTGACACAGGCTGGAGTGCAGTGGTGTGATCATGGCTCATTGTCCCTCGACTTCTCAGGCTCCAGTGATCCGCCCACCTCAACCTCTCAAATAGCTGGGGCACAGGCAGGGGCCACCATGGCCAGCTAATTTTCGTATATTTGGTAGACAAGGTTTCACCATGTTTTCCAGGCTAGGTGGATACCTTCCAAAAATAAGTTCAGTTCATCCTGCCTAGCCTTGCCCCTGCAGCTCTAGAGGAATTACCCCACCCGGCAAGCTCCCTGGGAATGCAGCACCACTTATGAGAAAAACAGCATTTTTTTTTTTCTCTGAAGTGGCATTTCTGACGTTTGCATTTAGGCTGGAAGTGACAGTAAGTTATAATCATCCTTGCCTGTGTTGTCCTTCCCATGTTAGGTTTGTTACGCCATGCATGTCTGCAGTTCATGACAGTCTAGGTCATACAGGCCTTCTGAAAAGTTTTGAAAACTTACCCAGTGAGTCCCTGAGCACCAAATGTTCTTTTGCGTTATTTTTCTTTATTAGGCTATTGTGACTATTGAGAATCTCACTCTTTTTAGAGAGAGTCTTTGTTGCCTAAGCTAGAGTGCAGTGGCGCGCTCATAGGTCAGGTCAACCTTGAATCCCTGGGCTCAAAGGCTCAAACAGTTCTCCCCC